CTGAAGGATATTTCCTATCAGGCATCCTGCAACCAAACAGCAGCAATATTCACGTTTGTAAAGTCATAAAACCTGGGAGCATTTAGTTTCACTTAGGAGTTAGCAAATGCATTGACACTACACAAGGACATGTGGGGTCCGATGCCCCTGCTTTTGCAGACAGCTTGTCCATAATTTGGGATCGCTGCACTAGAATGGGATGATTTCTGGAGGTCGCCTTCAGCAAGTCTCTTGTGGCTCCGTGTCTTCAACTGCAGATTATTCCTGTAGGTTGTCTCTCCCATAGCTAATTACCTTCACGTTTTCTGTGAAGGTTGGAAGATGGCTCTACCACAAAAAGCAATCTCACTCTACACTCCTCATCATTATAGCATAAACTGGGTGTGAAACTAGGGTTCTAATAAAACATAGCGATGGAGCAGCAAGTTCTTTGTACCTGCCCAAGGTTCTTCCTGACCTTCCAGATGCAGCTGTCCTGCAACAAATTGAGTGGAGTCATCTGTAATGGCAGTGTTTGGCTTGTCCAGGAATTGGTCCTAGGCTGAGAGCTGAGGGATGCTGACAGCTAGTTAGTTTGTCCTTCAGTTTTGTGCCTTTTGTACAGCTAAATGTAAAGCAATACATAATTCAGTAGGAGCCTGAAATCGTCTGGCTTTTGCTTAATGTTCTGTTTACAGAACAACTGAAATTCTTAGTATAGTAATAGTCTAGACACTGTCAAGTTTAGATCCTGAGCCTATGAGTTTGTTTTCTTAAAATACCTTAATAGTTCTTAAAAATAGCAGAAAGTGAAAGTAATAGCAGAGAGTGAAATTTTTCGTAAGTATTTTTAAGTGCTGTTACTTTGGCTTTGTTTCGTTGCGTGAACTTTAGTAGACTGGAATTTGATACCAGCTCTAAGCAGATGGGTTTGTTCCGTTCACGTAGTGATGAGTGTTGCTTCCTTATATGTACCTTGTATGTACCACCGATTTCTTTCCATGGTGATGAAGTACAAGCTGACTCACGTGATTACTTACTCTACAGAACAATGATTCTTCCGTTTTTTCATTATGTAAGCTTCAGTAATCAGAGATGTTGGCCGGTGGCATATTTCTAACCTTGAGTCAGTGTCCTGGCCCGTCCTACTGAGCGACCTGCTTGAACTGTGTTTGTGTGAGGCTGTAACCCAGTGCTGCAGTCAGGGGCTGTTGTTTCACAGGAAGCATCGTGTGTTCTGCCCTCAGCCAAAAGAGGCCTCTTAGGCTGCTGTTCGGAAACTCTGTAGTAGTTTGAGCACTACTTTGGGTGGAGATAGAAGTGACTATAGATAGAACTGGTGACTTTTAAAGCTGAGAGGTGAAATACTCTATGGCCTAGGTGGTGCAGAGACCTGGCATGAACTGGTGGCATATGTGAGGTTTTCTGCTGTTGCTGGCATTTAATGATGTCTGTTAAAAAAAAAAAATCGTGTGTGCAAATAAATAGTAAGCTTGTTTTGCATGCATGTTTGACTAATGCTTTACTAAATGACTTATCTTTTCCAGGTAACCTTCCTTGAAAAAGTCACTGAGTATTACGTAAGCAGTGAGGAGGATCGTAAAGGACCCTGGGAAGAGCTTGCACGAGATGGATGCAGGTTCCAGAAACGTATCCAAGAAACAGAAGAAGCCATAGGATACTGCTTCACTACAGAGCATAGACAGAGAGTATTTAAGAGACTCCAAGAAACCTACTATGAGAGGGTTGATCTCTTCTAGCACCTTAAAAGATGTGGTAGTTGTGTGACCCTAAGCACTCACTAACATCTTCAGAACCAGAAGTGGCAGCTGCATGTGCTATTCTGAAATGGGGAGAGAAGTGGGATTTTAACACTTTTTTTCCCAGTTCAATATTCAGCCAACGAATATACCCGTGTGTCCCATTCTGATAGCCAGACAAAACCTTTGGAATATCATCAAGGGTAAGGGTGGTGTAATGCATTCCTTCTAAGTAACACTTGAGAAACCGACTGCTTTAAGTTAGATCCGTTCCCACAATGCCTTGCGTGCCCTATGTTGAGAAGTGGTGACTATTAAGTTGGATTTTTGCACTTTGAAAAATCAAAACCTATTTTGAAGGAAATATTTATGAGGCTCAGAACCTAGTTATTGCAGTTTTGATTTAAAGTTTCTAGAGGTACATGCTACTTTCTTGTGGTTCTCCATTTTCTCTAACTAGTACAAAAGTCGCATATTTTGTTAGCTAATAACGTTAACTTTGCAAAGCAGAGAGTTCATTCCTTCCAGATCCCAGTTTTTTGCATGTAATCTGATGTTTGAGTGTTTATGTAGCGCTTTGATGTCTTCATGTTTCAGTCTAGCACACTGGGGGATTCAGGTCAGCTCTGGTGCTCTACAAGCCCTTTGGTTTGTCTTTATTTAAACAATACCTTTACCCAGTACTGTTCCAAAGGGTGTTAGCTGCTTGTGCACCAAACCTCTTTTCTTTCAGGGCGATGAAAGGCCTCATCCCGACCCAGAATTAAAGCTTCAAGGTTCGTATCGAGGTGATGGCTGATCGTTTGAATTTAGGTGGCCACGCACACGGAGCTAAGCCCTAGTTCTTTAGTTAATCTTAGAGTAACTTCGCTGTGGTTGATTCTGCTTTCTGACGATGGGTTGAAGTGGATTCTTCTTCATATTTCTCGTATCCAATATGCTTGTTCTGGTACATGAGAGGAGAGTTGTCTTTGACTTACGGAAATCTAAGGCTACAAATCGCTGTGTTCTTTACCAAAAGCCAGTATTAATACCTCTATGCGTCTGCACTTTTGTTCATCTGGTACCAAAATAACATTTCATGTTTGGGGGTCTGAAAGTTGAGGTCTGTGGTGGAAGGAAAACACTCCTTATTTATGTTCCTAATTTGAAATGTTTTAATTGTTGTTTCAGTCAAAAATAAAAAATCCAGCATCATTTGGATATGTGTTTGAACCTGAAGGATGTTGTGTGGCTGTTACTCAAGCAGGTATGAGGTCATGTGGTGGAATAAATACCAAACATCAAAAGATTCAGATCCGTTTGCACGAAGTTGCATGAATAAATTATTTGCTACTTGGTTCATTCAGCTGATGAGAATTGTTTCCCTTTAAGGGAGAAATCTAAAAACAATTCAGATTTGTCATCTCATGAATGACTTCATTTTTTAATTCGAAAGAAAATTACAGGTACAGAAGAGCTTCACAGAGCGTTACTGAGATTTCTGCGTTACCGTGCCATCATTT